AAATAGTGGAAGGGAAGTAAAAACAGAATGGAGTTAATAGGAAGTAGGAATCTGCAGTACATGGAAAGGTGGTGGAATAGATTTTAGAATCTGCTCCTGGACACACTGGCCTTCTCTGTCACCCAACACGTCTGTTAAAATCCAAAAGGATGCTAGGATATGGAAATTTTAACTTTGTAGAAATTAAATATATGAAACACAAGTATTTTCAATCTCTCCTGTGGATTAAAAACGTGAAGGGGAAGAACCGTTTGTGCTTGGGACTTTCCTGTTTAGGTTTGGCTAAAGCAAGGGAAGAGGCTCATTTGTGTTGAGCGGAGTCACCAGAGCTATTGACACAAAATGTGCATCAAACAGGGCTTTAGACAAGTCATCTTACGTGACACAGCCTATGCGTTTCCCTGTCACTGGACTTCTCGGCCTTTTTCCTCTAATGGAGTAGAAGTAGATGTCCTGCAGGTATTATGAGCTGGTCTGCTTACGAGCTCACAATTTGGCAATGATTGATACAAATACAATCTGAAGTGATAGCAACTTATTGAAATGTTTGGAGGAGCTTTTAAATATAATACAAAACTTTAAATAGAGCAAGTGGCAGTTATAACTTTAAGCAAGTCTTATTTATTTATTCTTGTATGTTTATATACTTGCGAAATTATTCTCTTTCCTTAGTTGGTCTCATTTCTTCAGGTTCTGAAGATGCTTGTGTCAGAGCCTTGTTTTGAACCTTGCGGGAAAGAGCCTATTCTGGTTTGGAATCCTGCATGACTGTTTGACCAGGAGGGTGAAAATATATTGGGGGGAATTAATAGACTACTTACACATATGTAACAGCTGTAAAGGGAAACTACTCCTTTGTGAAAAGGTGGAAAAAGTTGTACAAGAAAACTCCTCACAGCAGTGTTGTTAGGTTTATCTAGAATGTGAAAGTGACTGTTCAGACCGCTCCTTGCTTCATGCACAGTAACATCAAAAAAAGGAAAACATATAGATAGAAAATGCATCTGAAACCTAATCTTGAGGAAAAACCTGCCTAGGGCTCAGAAAACCTGTCTTCAGCTGGGGGGTATGGAGAAAGGAGCAACCAGATGACTCAGCCCTACTCCAAGCATTCAGACTGCCTTTGTTTTGGATCTGGGTAGTTAATTAGTGGTTTGCCTCTTCTTAAGTTACATAAAATAATTGCTACCTAAGCCAACATCTGGAATAAAAAAGAAAATTGTTTCACGTTCTTAATTTGGGGGAAATAGGGAATAAGAAATAAATAAGTATATATTTGTAATTTACTTTTTTTTTGAACTGTTGTCCATGAGCGAGAGCTACAACGGCAGTTCAGACCAGAGCACAAGCTTATGGAAAAAGTAATAGCTGTAATATAGTTTCTTGCGTGTTATTCCATGTTGTGACGCCAACTTCTACTGAGCTCAGCTTCCTCTACTACAGCTCAGCTTTGCTGCCTTCTCAAACGTATGCAGAAACTTTTAAAGCTTTAGTAATGCAGTGAAGGTTTGAGCCGCAGCTTGCAGCAACGCAGCTGTCTGACCTTCTCAGTCCCCTTCTTGGTTGCCTGAATGCATTCCCTCACAGTAGTTTTATGTATGCTGCAACTAGTCACTAACCTAGAGCCAAGAAAATTGTTCCCTTAGTTTCTGCACATGCTCTCAGAGTACTGCTCAAACAGGCATACTTTTGGACTATGCCCGTGCTTCTGAGTAAGGTTGCTACCCTTGACCTGAAATGACCAGCGTTGCTCTGTATCCCTGTAGAGGGAAGGAGGGGTATGCCTTTTGAAGCTTTCTATCAGTGATTGTTATGAACTACATGCTATGCATTTCTCAGTGTAGCTGTTATTCTTCACACTGTAACAGGGTATGCTCTTGCATTCTGTCTTTGATTACTTTGTCACAGTAGTGTCTTGACTGCGAAACTGACTTGGAAGCTGCATAATAATCATGAACTGTTAGGAAATTTTGTCTGATGCATTTAAAAAAAACACACACAAAAATTGCCTGGTGCCATTCTAGAATAGGTCTGCAAAATATGAATTCCTGAAGACTTGGAAAGGCAAAGCTGCTTAAACGTAACTTTCTGAAAAGCACTAGTTCTCCCTAAAACAGATAGTCTTCCTTTGCACTGTCCTGAGCAGAAGCTGATCGAAGAAAGGCAGCCTGTCCTGGACTTTGTAGCTCCTTTACAGTTAAGCACAAGATGCATTTTAAAACTGTTCTTTCCTCTTTGCCCATCGTTAAACTGGAAGACTTGCTTGTTTCTCTGTCTACATCTCCATGTATTTAGGTTAACTCAGTGTGGATCGCTTCCACTAAGTT